AATAGACCTGAAAGAATGTTTCAGAAACAAAGGAGGGCCAGGTGTGGGGGTGCGTGCTTTTAATCCCAGTACTTGGCACAGGCAGGCAGATCGCTGAAGGTCGAGCCAATCTGGTCTACATAGCCAGTTCCAGGCCAACTGGGGCTACAGAGAGACACGGGGGTGGGGGGGGGGGGGGCGCGGGCAGGCACGGATGGCGACACTAGTGCGCTGGTTTTTTTTTTTTAGTCTGCAATACAGAGGGTGGAACTGGAGATAAGGAGCGCTAGGTTCTCACTGATTCTGTGTTAACTTCCTATGTGTTTTTTAAGTTTTCTGGGCCTCGTTGGTGAAAATGATACTTTTTGTGCAGTAGTGTGAGCTCTCAAAGTGCATTCACCTATTTGGTATGTGTCAAGGGTTGGGCTAAATAGCTTCCAAGGTCTTTTGTGGTACTGGCATTTTGAAATTCTTTCAAGGCCTCAGGAAAATGGGTGGCATCTGAATTAGGATTAGCTCTTAGATATTTGAACCAGATTGTCACCGATAAAACCTCTTAAAATGTAGGGGAAATCAGTGTCTTTAAAAATCAAACTCCCACTTTGAGTGGAGAAATCTCTAATAGGTAAGTATTTGTATATCGCTAGGTAATAATGCTGTTAGACTAAGAAAGCTTTAAAGTATAACTACTAGACTGTGCCATGTAGTTTTTTAATCCCCAGGAGGTGGAGTAAGTTTTATTGATGAAGTCACTGTGAGTCTGTTGGATTTCTTCCTTACTGATAGGAATTTGTTTGCACTCAAGTTAAGGCCAGTACTTACAATGAGGTATCATTAGAGGTAGCCTAAATGAGAGATAAGGCCAGCCCAGTAATACTGGGCTGTGTGGAGCTGTTTCATCATGGAATTCTTCAGTGGGTAGGAAACGTACTAAGATATGTGAATTGCTTATAAAAGAAAAATGGTCAAGTGCTTGTTTGAGGTCTCTGGTACCATGCCAGTTATGACCATAGTGTCATGGTAACTTGGTAACTTGATTTTGTATTAAAAAAATCTCTTTTGTTATGTTGGTTGGTTTTTTTAATGCAAAGTAGGTCTTTTTTGAGGTGCCTGTTAAAATGAAAATAACAGATGAGGACCAGAGTGTTGGTATAATTTTCTGTCCTGATGCCTCATGGTTTTCTAACTTCGTAGAAAGGTAAATAGAGGAAGTATCTTTTTAAATTGATGAAGCATGTGCAGAATAGGATCATATCCTTCAGGGTGGGTCAAAGGTTTGACTTTAGTTAGTCTTTCTGGTTGCATTATTTCTAAGTCTTGCCTTTGTTCCCATTGATAGATTAATGACTTGTCTCGGTAGTAGAGGACTTTTAGTAAATGATTTCGCTTCTTAGTCTCATGAGTTTGTAATCATGAAAAGACTAATGAAACTATTATTATATTTGTGTCATAAAAGATGAAGTTGTTCAGAGGTAGAACCTTTATTAACCAGAGTCCATGACAGTCACATATTAGACCTTTCAGTGAAGTAGAACTGATTAGGAAAGGATTTTCATGCCAGAAAGTTTTGTTGCTCAAAGAAAAGGTTTCATTTTAAAAGTCTTTTATTATACATGTCAGGTAACAACTAAGTAGTTTCTACTCTGCTCTCTTCCAGTCTGTTACAACCTCAGAGGCAACTGCCTTTAATGAGTTTCTTTTTAGTTTTAGTGTTTGAAAAGATTCATAATAAATAAATGGATAAAAGAGTCATAAAAATAACTTCATTTAATAACATCTCTATTAGATTAAATTATTCATTCTTATTGCCTGTAGCTGCTACTTACCTTAGGGGGATGTAATGCCTTGGATTTTGTTTCTCAAAAAAGATGATGAGGGTAAGGTTGTAGTGGCTTCTGGGCAGATAATACTTCCCCACATATATGCAGTAAGTGTATACAGTTTAGTTATCAAATGAAAGCGCTGCCTTGTTTCTGTCATATCTTCCAGACACAGACACCAGAGCCATCTATCTGAGAATGAGCCTCTGGCCATTTGGCTTCTCTGCTTATAACTACCCAGAAGCTCCTTCATCACTCAGGGAACTTGTTAAAGTGGATCCCTGAACTTTAGCTCTTAAGATTCTGACTCACACTTGGCTTCTCTGACCCACATGCCTAAAATTTCTGACTGGGTGAATTCCAGGGATCTACATTTTATACTAGTTCTTGGTGTGTTTTCCGGTGGTTCTCGGGTCACACTTTGAGAAACACTATTTCAGTAATCTCTTCCTAGACAGGGACTCCTGTCTGCCTCTCGAGCTTTTTTCTTATCACTTCTAGAACTTTATATTTTGGCAATTTTTAAACAATTTAAATTTTCATTAGATGTGCTGATATAATTTAACTTATTTATGGGTCAGCAGCATATTCTAGCTGTTGAAAATGTAAACTGTTCTATATGTTCAGTCTTGGCCCTTGCAAGTAACGTTACCAGTTTCTTGTGTTTCCTTTTGGAAATGATCTGTACATACAGATCAACACAGTGAATGCTTTTGCTTTTCCTCATTCCTTTTTGCCTATGGTGATATTATTCTACCGCTTTTCTTTAGCATATTTGTAGAGATTGTTATACGTGACATTCTCATTCTTTTTTAAATAGCATACATATGTATTAGCTATACATGTACCTTAGATTATTTTACACTTAGATTATGCATGTACTTTAGATTATTTAGCATTTAGGTTGGTATTTTCTACTATCAAATACATTACTCTGGACTAATACTCTGGTATTCATATATATGTGAATCAAATTCTAGGACAAAGACCTAAAAGTAAAACCAGTTGAGGCCTGTGCATATGAGATTTCAGTAGGGTTTGCCAGATTGCCTCTCTTAGAAAGTGCACCAGTATATGATGGTTAGTCTTCATTGTCATCTTGATTGGATTTAGAATACCTAGGAGCTGTTCCTCTGAGTATGTGTCTGAGGGTGTTTCCTGAAATATTTAACTGAAGAGTGAAGACCATTCTAAATGTGGGTGGAGCCAGCCCGTGGACTGGTGAGCCAGACTGAGTGTAAGGGGAAAAGGAGAAAGTGAGCTAAGGACCAGCATTCTTCTCTCTGCTTCTTGGCTGTGGACGCAGTGTGAGCAGCAGCCTCATGTTCCCACTGCTGTGCTTTCTCTGCCATGTTGGACTGTAGCCCTCAAACTGTTAAGTAAAGTAAATCTTTCTCTTCTTGAGTTCCTTTTGCCAGGTATTTTGTTGCAGCAAATAACAGAAGTAACTAATATAGAGAGTTGGTACTGAGAAGTGGGGCTGCTGCTGTGACTACCTGGCCTTTGGAACTGGCTATAGGAGGAAAGGAGGAGATAGGAGCTTCTGGTTAGTGTGGCCCTAGAATAAGCAGAGACTAAGCAGAGATGAATAGGGCATTCTGGCAGGAGTTTGGAAGATCAGAATGCTGAAGCAGTGGAATGTGGGCAATGAAAATGGCCTTCTCAGGTTTCAGAGTGGAACAAGGACTCATTGGGAACTGGGCTGGAGACATTCAGGCTACATTCTGGCAAAGAACTTGAATGCATTCTGCATGTATCCTTAAAATTCTGAGGTTGACTTCAAAAGTAATGGATTAATTTATCT